TGTATAGCATCACGTATGGCCTCACATACGAGCTCACGTACGGCCTCGTGCATAGCATCACGTACGGCCTTGCGTATAGCATCACGTGTAGAGAGACGTAAAGGTGAATGCCCGGAGGAAGCTCCGGGCTTTCCGAGCCAATCAGAAGGTGGTGAAGCGCCAAGAGGGGGGGGGGGGGTGTACGTGTAGCGATTAGGGGGTGTACGTGTAGTGAAAAGGGGGTGTACCAGTAGCGCTCCCCTATATATATATATAGATAATAGAACAAAGAAATATATCGCTTATTTTTATTCTAATATTATAGTGTATTATTATAAATCCTTCTAGGGTTCTAGGTTAAGTTGTTTTTCTAGGTTTAGGTTAAGTTAATTAGATTTTAGAGATATAAGCTGGTTTATAATTAGTATAAAAGCACACCTGCAGGTGGTATATATATATACTTTTCTATAAAGCCGGGGGTTAAAGTAAATAGTTAGTAGGTTGCTATATATATACTATAGACAGGGCTGTTCTATGCTTAGACGTAGGCTTAGGGGTAATGCGCCCTAAATAGGTGGATTAATATAAAATAGAAAGGTTAAGGCTATATAGGTATATTATAGGTGTGTAGGCGGGCTGCTGTAGTAAGGGAAGGCCGCTTAAAATAGGAGTACTGTAGTAAAATAGGCGGGTTAATATAGAATAGGCGGATTTACTATAGCAGTAAGGTAGTATAGAGTAGAGCTATAGCTAAATAGGTGGATTGTTATTAAATAGGGGGATTTACTCCTATACTATTTCCCTGGCCATTAAAAGGTATAGAAGTTATCACGGGCTCGTGCACGCTTTTCACCCCTCACCGCTTATTCTTCTACACCCTATAACTCCACTAATTTTCAACAAATTTCGATTAAAAATGGATAAAATTGAAGCTGCAATCGCGGAGCTTTACCTCTAAGAGAAAACGAACATCAAGGCCATGGCCGACAAGCATGGGATTAACAGAAGCACCCTCTCCAAGCGCTTCCGTGGGAAAACTGGTAGTAAAGCAGATAGATACAATTCTTAACAGGTTCTTACCCCTAGGCAGTCTAAGGCTCTTATTAAATACATTAACAACCTATCTAAAAGGGGGCTTCCTCCTACGCATTAAATAGTGCGAAATCTAGCCTCAGCAATAGCTGGGATTATGCCAGGAATTAACTAGGCTTCGCGCTGGGTTAAACAGCATTTAAAACACCTTAGATTAGGATACCTCCTTCCTATTAACAAATTAAGGAAGAGAGCTAATTTAGCGCTGTATTACAGCCTCTACTTTAAACTTTTAGGATAAAAGATGCAGGAATATAATATACAGCCAGGAAATACCTGGAATATAAATAAAAAGGGCTTTTTTATTAGTTAAATAAAGAAGAAAAGAAGGATCTTTAGCAGGAATACCTTTAAGTTAGGAAGAATGCGCAATATTATCCAGGATAGAAATAGAGAGTAGATTATAGTAGTAGCAGCTATCTGCGCAGACTATACAGCACTTTTTCTAATACTTATCTATTAAGCTATAATAAACAACGTCCAGGATATATAGCTAGAGGATTTCGACCCTAATAAATATAGCTGCTTTTTTATATTAACACCTTCTAGATAGACTAATAACAACCTTAGCCTTTAGTAGTTAAAGATCTTTAATAGAGAGATAAAGGAAAAGGCTAGAAAAGATTAGAGGCTTCTTATTATTAATAGGCACAGTTTTCACGTGAATATAAAGTTTATTAAGTACTGTTATAAGAATAAGATTCTCCTAGCTATTTATCCTCCTTATTTAACTTACCGGCTTCAGCCTCTAGATGTCTTTCTCTTCTCTTCTCTAGCTATTTACTACTTAACTAAATTAAACCGGTTTATTTTAAATTCTAAAGGATTCTTACGCTTTATAAAAAGGGACTTCTTTAGGATATTCTAGATAGTATAGGAGAAGGCTATAATACTAAAGAATATAGCTAGTGGGTGGAAAAGGACTAGTATACACCCCTGGGATCCTAATACAGTATTAGACTAATTTAATATTAAAAAGGAAGAAGATAGAAACTCGGCTAAAAAAGGTGGTAGAGGATGTAGTTCGATCCAAGACCGATAGACAAGTAAGGGCTCTCACCCGGGATATTTATAAGCTTATGGCGACTAATTTACTTTTTTAAAGCTGTATTTAAGGCTACTAGGAAGCGTTTAAGATAGAATAGAGGAAGAGGAAAAGGCAGAAGAATCTCTTTCAGATTCTAGCCTCTAATAATAGTGGTAGAGCTATTGTCTATTCACCTAATAAGGTGCGGCAGGCACGTGAGCTGTACTAAGAGAAGGAGGATGCTAAGGAAGCTGATATTGCTCGCAAGGCAGAGGATAAGGTGCGCAGGCAGCTAGCAAAGGATGACAAGCAAAGAATTGAGGAAATGACGAAGGCTAGCAAAGCTACTAAGAAAAAGCATCAGCTAGATGCTGAGGGCGAGAAGAAGCGCGCTGCAGATGATGCTCGTTATGCACGTGAGTTCAACAAGCAGCTCAAAGAGGAGAGCAAGTTGATGCAGCAGAAGCAGAAGGCTAAGACGGTTGTATTCACTATTCTTGAGGAGCCTTCTGCTGAGCAGGAGTGTGAGGGGGAGGATGGGGTTGTGAAGGCGACCTCTGGCCGGCCTCAGCGAATGCGCAACCCCCCCAAATGGCACGACGACTCCGTGGTGGTTATAGAATGAAAGTGAAACACCAAAAGCCTCTTGTATTTCAATTTGGTAGAAATCCATTCATATTTGATTGAGTTGTGAGGTTTTGAAGTTGGTGGTGATGCGTGATCAAAGCGTGCACGAGCCCGTAGCGTGCACGAGCCCGTGATGACTTCTAGTAGGAGTTTCTTCTACTGGAGGAACTATTAGGCTAGGGCCTTAATAGTGCCCCTGTCTTTATATAGCTTCTTATAGGTTCTGGTTTTAGCTTTCCTAAATAGTTTATTTCTGCCCTCTATATACTATTTACAGTTTATAACTATATATTATAGTGTTTATTGGCTGGCCCTGCAGGGGCACACTAGTGTTAGGTGGTTTAGTACTCTTATCCTGTATAGGTACTTATTAAACCCTATATATTCTGTCCGCAAGTTTATAATAATTATACTTTCCACTTTAGTAAGCTTGCTGTGTATATATTTATAGCGCTCCTGCCACTTAGTGTTAAGCGCCGGCGTAGGGGGTCCTCTTCGTGGCCTTTTCCGGAAGGCCTCCCATTCTTCCTTCCACCTATCTTCGTACGCTGTGGCAATCGCTGAGCGTCTCGAACGTTTGTATGAGTTGTCTGATTCGCCCTTAAACCGGGTAATGTTTCCGACGGCGACTACCGCTTGCCTACGGAGTATATCGCGTCTGCTGGGGCCGAGCCGGGGCGTTCCTCGGCCACCGTATTTGTTCCTGATAGCGCTTCTTATGTCGCTGCATATCTGGTTGATGTACGTGCGGGCGGGCCCCTCACGTGTCCTGTCCATGTAGGCCACCGCTAGTTTTTCCAGCTTTAGCCTGAGAGGGGGGCAGGACGTCTCGTGCTCTAGCACCTTGGTAGGTGTTGACTTGTAGGCCCCCGAGATGCGCCGGAGGCAGTGGTTTTGTGCTGTTTCGAGTTGTTTGAGTTTCGTCTTGCTGAGGGGCCCCCCTATACCGGCCTTTAATATAAAGTAGAATAAAAGTTAGGCAGCTAAATACTATAAGCTTACTAAAGCTAAAAGCTTAATTATTACGCTTCTATAAACGGAATATATAGGGCTTAATATATACCTGTACTATATAAAGGTGCTTAATTACCCTACACCTGCGTGTCCCTAAAGTATATAGTAATATACTACAAATAATACTATAATAGTAGAGGCAATATATTTTTTAAAGCTAGAACAAAGATATATACAGCTATATAAAGACTATAAGGGAAATAAGGCCGTTTTATAATAGTTCCTGCACTAGATAGACCTTCTACCCTACCTCTTTATAGCTAGAAAGATAGCAATAGAAAAGCTGGCTATATAGCCCAGCCAACTTATATAGCCACACTATAAGAATAATATCTGCACGCCTGCACGCATATATACACGCATGCATATTATATAGCTACAGGCACGCCCGCAACAGGGCAACCCCCCCCCCCCCCCCCCATTTCCTATTGTCCTTAAATTCAGTGTCTCTGCTTTTAAGAAAAGGGCACGCGTGTACAGTATAGCACACGTGCCTTAACGCGGACCCCCGGACCTTACCAACCATCTGGACACCGTACAACCCTAAATCCTAGGCCCCACGGACACCGGATCCTTCCTGGAGAATGCATTAAAATGGCTTACTCTGTGGCGATGCTTATAGAGCTGCCACGCGTCCCCCACAGCTGCGTAGGAACAAAAATAAACGCAAGGCGTTATACACTGTAGAAAACAAGGTTTTCACCCGACCGCTATAGAGCGAACGATTTCCCCTTGTAAATAAAACCTAGATAGCACTGCCGCATGGACCCTAACGGGAGCTAAATCGGCCTAATAGAATCTAATAATAATAATAATAATAATAGCTTAGAACCTTATTTATATCTATATCTATATATCTATATATCTATATATCTATATATCTATATATCTATATATCTATATATCTATATATCTATATATCTATATATCTATATATCT